GACATATCTCGGATTTGAAGAAGAATTTGATTTCTCTGGGCACTTTGTACAATAATGGTTTTATCTCTAAGTATGATGAGGATAGGGAAACCATTCGGATTGTTAAAGAAGCTTTGACTATGATGAAAGGAAAGATGAATGCAGGGAATATTTACAGATTGTTAGGGAGTACCGTTGCAGGTGGAGTTCATTCTGTTGAGTCCTGTGATGATACTACCAAACTGTGGCATATGCGTCTTGCTCAACTTAGTGAACGTGGTATGGCTAAATTACATAAAAGAAATCTGTTGCATGATGTTAAAAGTTGTAATCTTGATTTTTGCAAGTATTGTGTTCTTGGTAAACAGACCAAAGTTCATTTCGAGACTGGGAAGCACACAACTGAAAGGATTCTTAATTATGTGCATTCTGATGTATGGGGGCCTTCCATGACATCGTCTTTGGGTGGATCTAGTTATTATGTTACTTTTATTGATGATTTTTCACGGAAAGTTTGGGTGTATTTTTTGAAACAGAAGTCTAACGTTTTTGAGAAGTTCAAACTGTGGAAAACTGAGGTAGAAAACTAAACAGGATGAAAAATCAAGTGTTTGTGATCTGAAAATGGTACGGAGTACACATATTCACAGTTCTAAACTTCTGTAAGGAGCATGGGATTAAGAGGCATTTTACAGGGCGCAAGACACCACAATAAAATGGTGTTATGGAATGGATGAACAAGTCGTTGAATGAAAGAGTCAGATATTTGCGGTTGAATGCGGGGCTTCCCAAATATTTTTGGGCTAAGGTTGTTAACATGGTGTGTTATCTTATCAATACATCGCCAAGGGCATCATTGGCTGGGAAAGCTGTAGAAGGGGTATGGACTGGTCATGATGTTACTTTTGATCACTTGCGGATTTTTTGTTGTCCTACAGATGAGAGATCCAAACTTGATGCAAAATCGAAGGAGTGCATTTTTCTGGGTTACAAGAAAGGTGTCAAAGGATTCAAGTTCTGGGATCCAGTTGCGAAGAAAATTGTGATCAACAAAGATGTTTTTTTATGAAAAACCCATGTTGTAGTAGAAGAAAGACACGACAGTGGTGGATTTCGAGCAGTTTCTAGTTGAGAAAACAGAAACTTCTCAACCGACTTATGGTGATTCCTCTACGAATGATTTGCAGGATTATAGTCTCGCCAGAGACAGGGTGAGACAGACGAATATAAAGCCTCCGAATAGATTGGGTTTTAAAGACTTGGTCTCTTTTGCACTTATTGTTAGTAGTGATGATCTGGTTACTTTTCAAGATGTTGTTACTAGTCAGGAAAACGACAAGTGGATGTCTACCATGGTTGAGGAGATAGAGTCTTTGAATCATAATCGCACGTGGGAGTTATTTCGCCTTCCTGAGGGCAAGAAGCATATTGTTTGCAAATTGGTGTATAAGAAGAAACCAGTAGTAACAAAAAAATAGGAGGAGAAGTTCAAGGCTCGTTTGGTAGCAAAAGGTTTTTCACAGCAGAAAGGAGTTGATTATGATGAAATTTTTTCTCCTGTAGTCAGGCACACTTCAATCCGAGCAGTACTTGCATTGGTGGCTAATGGGATTTGCATTTAGAGCATATGGATGTTAAAAGTGATTTTTTGCATGTTGATTTAGATGAGCAGATCTACATCCAGCAGCCTGAAGGTTTCACTCAACCTGGAAACGAGCATTTAGTTTGCATATTGAAGAAATCTTTGTACGGGTTGAAACAGTCTCCGAGACAGTGGTACAAACGGTTTGACTCCTATATGATCAAGATTGGCTACAAGCGATGTGAGTATGATTGTTGTGTCTACGTTAAGAGCCTTGATGATGGTTCTTTTATTTTTCTGTTACTGTATGTTGATGACATGTTAATTGTTGCGAAGAACATGGATGATGTTATCGATTTGAAAACTTTATTGAGTCAGGAATTTGATATGAAAGATTTAGGTGCTGCAAAGAAAATTCTTGGAATGAAAATTTGTAGGGACAGAGACTCAAGGAAACTGTGGCTATCTCAACGGGGTTATGTTGAGAAAATAATAGAAAGGTTTGCGATGAGCAGCGCAAAACCAGTGAGCACTCCATTGGCGAATCACTTTAAGCTCTCATCAGAACAGTTCCTTAAGACAGATAAGGAAGTTGAAGATATGGAAAAAGTTTCATATTGTATGTTGTTGGTTGCTTGATGTATGCAATGGTATGTACTCATCCTGATTTAGCTCATGATATTAGTCAAGTTTGGAAGTACATGCCTAAACCTGGTAAGCAACATTGAGAAGCAGTCAAGTGGATCTTTAGGTACTTAAAGGTACTGTGGAACATGGAATTGTCTTTTGTAGTCAGCGGGATAATCCTTTGGTTGTAGGATATGTGGATTCAGACTATGCGGGTGACTTGGATAATAGAAGATCTACGACAGGGTATGTCTTTACTCTTGGTGGAGGGCTATTTGTTGGAAGTCTACTATTCAATCTGTTGTGGCATTATCTACAACTGAAGCTGAATACATGACATCGGCTAAAGCTGCAAAAAAAGCTTTATGGCTTACTGGTTTAGTGAAGGAGTTGGGTGTTCAGCAAGGTGGAGTTCAGTTGTTTTGTGACAATCAAAGTATTATTCACTTGGCAAAGAATCATGTATATCGTGCTAGAACTAAGCATATTGATGTAAGGTTTCACAAGATCAGAGAATTGGTTACATCTGGAAAGATTTTGTTTCAGAAGGTACATACTGATGAGAATGTTGCTGATATGTTCACCAAGCCAGTTACGATAGACAAGTTCATGTATTGATTGGACTTGTTGAGTGTTTCGAGTTGTTAAAGAAGTAAGATAACCCAACCCACATTTAATGTTTCCTAAGGGGCAGAATATTCGTCAATGTGGAGATTTGTTAGGTATGGCTCATAAATATACCGAGAAAGTCTCGTAGTGGGGGTTACAATTATGTGGGTTGGGGTGCGGGGGATGTGGCCACGCGGTATGGTACAGGGTTATTTTTGTAAATATGCACCAGGGTTTATTTATTATAAAAGGAGATGTAACCTAAACCTATGAGACATTGAATTGAATAAAATTCTAGCGTCGCCTAAGGCACCGAGGACGTAAGCACGTTGCTAAACCTCGTTAAAATTCTTGTGTTCTTTCTGTTTTCTTTACCCGATTATTCAACATATTCCAAGTTTACAACGGATATAATTAACATGTGAAAACCTTCAATATGGGATTTTTTTCGTGCTATGGATCCTCGGATTAAATTTGGATATGCGATTTTGCATTCATAGATAGTTTCTCATGATGTTCAACTATGATTTGTGGTTCTCGATAGTCTTTCAATAGTTTAATCCCCTTTTGTGGTTAGTTTGTCGATGCAGTCAGAGTTGCTCGTATCTATTTTTTGTTTGAGTCTTTTGGTTGAGTTTTTAACATTTTCCATGTATGGAATTTATATGATCTAAATTGCTAGTTTTAATGTTATAGGAAAATGTTCAAGTTACGTATTTAGTTACGCTGATAATTGTAGACCCTCATTGTAATTTTGGATATTTTTACCTTTTAAGAAGACTAGAAGCTTCTACCAAAAAAAGTAGGATTTGAGAAGCTCATGGACAAACATGTTAACTATGAGCTATCAAAGATATGTCTTGAACTTTATCCGATCATGTACTAAACTATGTCAGTTGTTGTATTCTAAAATACTCAGGTTCTCGGTATAAAAACTCACTTTACCTATTGTATTGAAATGAATCTAATTAAGTTCAACACTTGTCCTTAATAACTCGAAAGTAAGTTATTTAAGGTAAGACTAATACATGTGATTTTTTCAAATCTCACTTGTGTAGATATGGTATTTTTTTCAAATGTTTAAATTAATCCACTTAAACATACATTATTTGAGTGATTTAAGATAAGACTAATACATGTGGTTATTATTCAGCTCATGCTTAGACAAATATGCGTCTTCAACATGCAAGTTTATTCTTTTTGAAAAAAAATACATTAAAAAATTATATTGCTATCCCTTTTTTTCTTTATTTCATTTTAGTCTAACTCGTGCCCATACTGTCCCCCACATAGACAGAAGACGTTTCATACAAAAGTGCTTTTGAAGGCACTTCTTAAAAAAAGCGCTTTCGAATTTACTTTAGGTAGAAAACTCAAAATTCTTAAAAAATGCGCTTTCGAAGGTATTTTCCGTAGAAAACTCTTTTATTCTATGTGACATAAAAATGGGTTAGTTCGAAAAATAATCTCAAACATATGCTAAATCTGGAAAATAAGTGACGTGAAAGTATTTATAAAATGGTATATATATGCAGGGGGAAAAATATGATAATTAGGGATGTTAGAGATGATTTTGAGTAAAATTAATTGGAATGGGGTTAGTTTGCATTTTTAACTTTTAATTTTTGGACTAATGTTACTTTGAATCTAGATCCATTTTTTTACGTTGGAGGTTTAGGTATATCTGGAGTATTGCACATTATAATTTCTTGTCATTTCAAATTCTTTGTTTAAACTGTTTTAAGTTTAAATTAATTGAAGTATAAAAAACCTTTATTTCAAATTAAATAATTTTAGATTATGAATTTGCATTAAAATTCAAATGGTTGATTCATAGTTTTAAGATTACATTAATATTAAAGGTCAAATCTTTATAGAGTGACGGGTATAAACAAACTTATTAAGTAATTTCAGTGATTAAAGGAAGTATTATTTTCCTTCGAGATTCTAGGTACGAGCAACATATGTAGCATGGGTACAACAACTTAGTGTCGTACCAAGTATCGATACATCTCCAATGTAGGTACGAGATGGGTACAATTTGAGTACGTACCGAAGACATCTCCTATTTAAGGAGAACGGTTGAAATTAATTGGATACATCGAAAAGATTTTTTTAAAACGTATCAGGGACGATGTTTGATCTTCACGTAACTAACCACAATTATTATTCTATTTAACATTCGTGGTCATGTATTATCAACATGATGCGTAGTTCCAACAATATTTACAAAGGCAAACCAAAACGATCATGGACTTTGCTCATACCCTTCTGGTATCTCTGCAACTTTTGTAGAAGAAACTGAAGGAGGAGGTGATTGCTTGGTGGTTTTATACTGTTGCACCACCAAAACAGATGCTGATGTTGAGAATTCAGGTGAAATCAATAAACTGCCTATTGGTCCTAACTCAGGGCACTCTGTCTTTGCATTCAGTATGGCCGTCGTTTGAGACTCCGGCATTTGCCCCACTACGAAAAGGTTGCAGCGGCTGAATTCTCCGATTGCTTCAATGGTTTCCGTCGAGTTTCTTACCACTCTTTCTTCATAACTTACTGAGCTGTCGTTTGAGATTTTGTTCTTGAATTCCATCAGGAATCCTTCGTCGCTTGTGTTTGTATCGGCCGCGACGATGTTGCCGGAAACTTCGGGGCCGGGTAAGAAGCGAACGACGGTTAGACTGATGCCAGGGTGCTCTGCCATACGAGCTCCATAAGCAAGTGCTTCGTGATCGTCATGTCCGCCGAAGAACAAGACGGTTACGACGGAATCAATGTTGCTTGCCGATATATGTGTGGTTCCACCTAGACCACGATCGACAAAGATCCCCACCGAGCATGGCGCTTGTTCAAGAACTCGCTTATTGACCAACTGATATTCGGTTTGAGTCGTCTCGAACGTTCTGTCCACCCTATGGTGTTTATGGAAGGGGAGGATTATCATGGCCGCCCTTTTTCTTTCAGCGCTATTGCAGATGTCCTCATGCATGCTAAACAACGACGAGATGGCCGTCATCGGGCGGACCGACACTCGGCTTAGTTGCCGGAAAGTCTTGAAAGCAACCACAATTTGATCACAGTCAGAGTTTGTCCCTTTGTTCCAAAAGGGAAGTCCATTCTTTCTTGCCTTATGGACCATAACAATGGCGGATGACCTCTCGGAGAGCTCCATGAGGTGTAAAGCATACACACAAACTCCTTCCTTTTTCTCAGTTCCACGTGAAGCCTCAATAAGATTAAGCATGGTGGGTATATCTCTCAAACTATGGAAGCAAGCCAATATTCGAAGCTGAGAATTACTGTCTTTTCTCTCAATTGTTTTGTACTTGTGCTCTTTACCCTTTCGTTTAGCTGGCTTATACACTGCCATCACAAGGGGAGTAGTTATAAAAGTTGTAAATATGGCCATCAAGACCATGATTGCAAATGTTTGGTCGTTCAAAACCTGTAAAAATACCAATTGGAAAACAGTAATTAGTAAACAAAACATAAGTTTAATCATTGTCGAAGATGAAATTGTACCTTTCTATCTTTACCGATGTTGAGAACAATGAGCTCCACCAAGCCTTTTGTATTCATAAGGAACCCTAGGGCTAAAGCCTCCCCGAAAGGCAGCTTGCATAGAAGGGAAACGGAGACGGTGCCGGCGATCTTCCCGAAACATGCGGTGACGATAACTAGAACGAGGAGGCCCCAGGACTGAGCACCTTGAATGGCGGCTACATTTGTTTTCAATCCACTTGACACAAAGTATAATGGTAGAAACAGGCCTGAAACAAGGTCTTCAACTTTTTCCACCATGGCACTAGCAAATGGGCCTTCTTTAGGGACGAGAACCCCGACCATGAATGCACCGAAGAGGGCGTGGATTCCGATAAGATCTGTAATGAAACCCGCTGCCAAAACTGCCGTCAAAGTTGCACATACATACAATTCTTTCACTGGTTCGCCCTCGGGGCAACGGTTAACCATCCATCGGAATATAGGAGGGAAAACGAGTGTACATCCAAGGACAAAACCAGAGCCACATAAGAAAACCCACAATGATACAAGTGGAGAACTGTCGGTTCCTGATAAGGCAATGGCAAGTGCTAGCAGAATCCATGCAGCCACATCGTTGACGGCGGCAGCAGACATAGCCATTCGGCCTATATCAGTTGTTAAAAGCTTTAGCTCAGCCAAAATACGGGCTAACACAGGGAAGGCAGTGATGGAAAGAGCAACCCCCATGAAGACAAGGAATGGTGCTTCATCTACACCCTTTGAGATAGTAGCACGAAGGGCAAACGATGTTCCTATTCCTAGTATAAAAGGAAGACTAATCCCGGCAAGTGCTATACAAAGAGCTTTCTTTCCGGTGCGGCGAATCGATTTCGGATCCAACTCTAGGCCGACGAGGAATAGAAAGAAAAGGAGACCGAGATTGGCTAAGGTGTCCAGCACCGTTAGACTCTTTGGAGGGAAGATTGTATGAAGATACTTTTCGTTTCTGCCAAGAACTGATGGACCAAGCAATATTCCTCCCTGCAAAACCAAATCTGAAATCACAAATGAAGAACAAGCACGAAGCATAGATGAAGAAGAGAGAAACTTACAACAATCTCGGCGATGACACGAGGCTGCCGTAGAGGTTTAAGAAGAAAAGCGAGGATACGAGTGAGTAGAACCACCATGCATATCTGAAGGATGGCGAGAGGGAGTGCAAAATCAAGAGGGTTATCACCCTGGAACACGCCGTTTGATGTTGCCTTCATTGGAGAAGGGCAGTGCCCTGAAGTTGTTGAATTCGTAGCCATATTGCACCAGTCTCAGATATCGATGTCACCAAACTACTTCAGTTTTTAAAGAGAATTATTGTTATTTTAAAGTTTTACATTCAAACCCCACGTATATAAAAATATAAATTAATTTTAAATAATTAAAAATATTTAAACAAATATTACAACCTAATTTTAATCTAACAGTAACAGTATAATTCCACCAATTCTAATAGTATATTCAGTAGATATGATTAAATTAAAGCCTAACTAATAGCGATACTAATAATAAAAATTTAACACGTCAAGATTGTGAGGGCTAATAATAAGGTAAATGGGCAATAAGATAACTTGGTCAAAGCATGAAACACAAGAAAAATCCATTAAATTTTAAAAATTCAACCATGATCTGCGTGACCGTGATTTCCTCCTTCCCGTTCCCATTGATGGGAACTGTATGTATTTATTACAATAATAAAACAATAAATGAATCTACAAATTAAAAAAATTATTTATTCAGCACCAATAAACGGTCTCAGTGGTTAAAAAATTGTTATTTTTGAGGTTTCGAGTTGTAGCACCATGTATATAGGATATTAACGTTCTATATCAAATGATTGAGAGTTTTTAAACATATATTACCTAGACTAATAAAAAAATCATTTTCCCATGCATGAGAACTATATGTATTCATTACAATAATAAAACAATAAATGAATCTACAAATTAAAAAAGTTTATTTATTCAGCACGAACAAAACGATCTAAATAGTTAAAGAATTGTTGTTATTCTTTTATATCTCGAATTCGAACAGCACGTATATAAAAAAATTAATTTTTAAACATATATTATCTAATATTACACAGACTAATAAAAAAAGCTATTTATTCAATCTTATTCAGGTGCAATTCAAAACAACTATACCACTTTGGATAATTTACATATATTTTCCTAATTTATCAAATTATTGATGACACCGTTATCCGTTTCAGATATATTAATAAAATTCACTAAAAATGAATGAATAATAGTAATGTTAATTAACTAAAAAAGGAAATATATATTATTAAAAATCATTCTAATGGTTTTTTTAAAGTAAGATCATTCTAATGGTTAAAAAATATTATTTATAAACGATACCGTAAAATTTATAAATATGAATCTTATCCTTATAATATGAAAATTAAGAAGTTAATCTTCAACTTTAATTTGTTGAAATTTAATCTAGTGTAAAAATAGAATGACTAGTCTAATTAGATAATACGAACTTTACTGCTAAATCGTTGATTTATAAATCAATAATCTATTAGTAATAAATCAGTTATTTAACAACCTATATACAATATATTAACAAAACAACACTATTTTATGTTCTTACAAATAATTGGTTACTAAACTAACTTCTCAAAGTACTTCTTTTCCCCTCAGCAAATAGATACTTTTTTTATAAAATTATAAAGTCAAAGTTAAAAATAGAATATCTCGTTAAAAACCTTCGTAAACTTATTTAGAGAAAAAGAGTATATCCAACCTAACAAAGAAGAGTATAGTATCTCAAAGACTTCAACCGAATAAGAAACACCCAATAACGTCAAAAGCTTAATGTTTGATAAACTAACGTCGAAAGTATCTGTTTAAAGACTTTCAATCATCTGACATTGAACACTCATACACCCTTGTATACATGATGTTCAAATTCGAGACCTCAATGAATAATAACAATTGCTTAACTATTAATGTTACTTGATTCGTGCAAAAAAAAAATTAACTGAGACTCGTAATTAATTTACAAGAAAATCAAATAGTATCATTTCATAAAAAATGTTTGGGGGCATTAGGGTCATTTCAAAACAAAATACTACTTTTTCAATGTTGTTGAACGTTGAACTAAATATTTTGAGTTTTCAGCGAAGCCTGGTCTAAGAAATTGCCTGCATTTGGTATTAATGTGTTTCCCTAAAGCAGTAATTTGCAATGCAGAAATTAACAGTTCCATCTATGCCCTCAAACTCGCCTCAAATTTACGATCTCAACCACTTAAAAAGAAAAAATTAGAATTAATTATTTAGGGAACGCATGAATGATCCGTTTGAGTCTCGTAATTAAAATGAAAACTTACGTTCTCAAAACTCTTCGGAAAATGATACGTTTTCTTTTCCTTTTGATGATTTTCTTAGTAGCCAAACAGAAACCTTTACTCCAGATCAATGAGAAGAAAAACGAACGAGAAAGAGAGAGTATGACTCACCTGAAACTTTGAACGCACTGTAACCGCAAGAATCTCTCACTCAGTGCAGATTCATTTTCTCTTCAGATTTATGATGAGAAAAATAGAAATAGGAAATTATGAGAGCAGCCTGGCAAACCCGGCATCCTTATATCGACCCTCGGGTGATAATTTAACTCACGATTTTGCCCTTTCATGATCAAGAGTTGCTAATTCAACTAATATTATATTAAGGATAAGTCTGTCGTGAGTGATCGATAAATATTTTTGGGTGGAAACATATATATTAATAACATAAAATCTTCGTATGAGATGAACAAAAATAAAATTTCAGGGTGTATAATCTTAATAAAATAACTTATTAACATAAAGAAATTTAGATTTCAGGATAGGCATGTGCCTACCCTAGACAAAACCTACATCCGCCATTGTCTACTGTAGATGTCATACATTAATATATAGCACTAATGACATTCGCCGATGTGCATTACTAATATAAAATAAGATAAAATTCATAAACGGTCATTAAATTTCGTTAAAATGGTTTTATTTGTCATTAGATTTTTAAAATTACAAAATAGACATTAAATTTTGAATTTTATTAAAAAAGAGGTATAAGTCGTTAAATATCATTTTGATATTTTCTCAATATTTTTAAGTAATAATTTAAGAAATGATCTAAAAAATATATAAAAATAATTTATTTTCAAAATTAAAAAAAAAACATAATTCTGTGGTATTTTATCAAATTATTTTATAAATAATTAGTTATTTAATTTTAGTTTTATTTGTAAAATTAAAAAATCATAATCTCCGAGATCTAAAAATTTTGATTATCAAACAGTTAAGTTATTTTTTTATTAAGCGATTCAAACAATTTAAAAATAATACATCTAGAAAATTATAGTATTACATTAATAACAAAAATACACCTAAACCTAACATAAAATAATTGAAACAATCTTTTAAGTTTAAATAAAGTGTCAAGTAATTTATATAGTATAAATTCAATATTTATAATATGTAACTAGAAATTAATATTTAACTTTTATATATATATTTTAATTCAACAAAATTAATAGAAATTAGTTTAATTAAAATTAATAGTAAAATGAATTTTTAGTTACAATTGAAGGATAAAATGAGATATTTTCTATTAATATGATATGCCATATCATATCTTTAATGACAAATAATGACATTGTGTCTGTTTTGTAACAAATTTTTTTAAAAGTTACGTGTTTGAAAAGATCATTTTAAAATAGTTTAATGTCCATTTATAAATTTTACCTTATGAAACTAAGAGTATATATCAATGTATGACATCCATTTTAGGATTTTCCTTTTATTTATTTTTTTTGGTATAACCATTGATTTCTGATTTATTAATCGACTAATATGGATCAGGTACTGTAGAGACAAAGGTGACCCTCCCAACCCAGTTTGCTCCATTTGCAAAAGTCAGAATTTGAACTCCTAATCTTACTTAAGAAATCTAGTGTTTCATGGACCAATTGATTGTTGGTTAGTGCTAAAAATATATTGTTTCGATAAAGAATAGAGTATTATTCATCAACATAGGGTAAAAGCTGATTTTCCAACTTATATTAATTAAATATTACTTAATATTTAATATTTATTTTAATTATTTAATATTTCAGCCGATAAGATCGTCGACTCATTTCAACTATGGTTTGCCTGATTACTATAAATATGCAAGTCCTTCTGGGTAAATCAAGATGATATATATATATATATATAGTAATAAACAAAACTAGCCTGTAAAATTGATATTTACAAGGCAAACCTTAATTTTACACAGAATGTAATTGGTAATTGGATCTTTTGAGTTTTATATTTTTTAGTACCGTTGAATGAAGAAAATTAAATGTTTTGATTAACAGTGAGAAATAAGATGATATTTATTAGAAAAAAAACAATGAATTAATTTCATTCTTTGATTTTTTTTCATATAATAATTCTAAAAAAATATAAAACTCTTAATTTTACACATGATGTAATATACATACACGCGAAAAAAGGGGAAAAGTTAAAACACTATTAGGAAAAAAATTAAATAATTAAATGAAATGAAAAGTGAAACGAGTTGATAAATGAATGTTAATTAAATGAGTTGACGTTTACGTATCAATTTATCTTATTATATGTAACATCAAGGATGATGTGTACAGTAAAGTAGTATATAAATAACTTATCAATTTCACTTAGGGCATAGAAACTCCAAAACCACATATTTATATACATGTACTGTCAGCTCCCTTAAGTTTAGAGAGAGATTAAAGTGAAATCAAGATTAATAAGGATTAAATTAAATAATTGTAAAATTTGATGATCAAATTGGAAATTTAAGGACTGGTTTAAATACAAGATAAAATTGGGAAATATTTCATGATTCATATGAAGTCTAAGATTACGCCTAATAGTTTTTCCAAAACTGTGTTGGTATAAATACAAACTTCTTCAGCCCTTGCGTCTAATGTCGCCTGGACTTCGTTTAATATTTAATTAATATTCCAAATTCTAAAATTATTACTTTTAAACTAATTTTCAATTTAAACTTATTTTAAATAAATTCATCTTATTTTCAAAATTTATTTTAGTTTAAAAATTATTTTGAAAAAAATTAAAGAGATTTGATCCTCTAGTTGAATACTTATCGATTCTATTAATATGAATTTTGAGATATTACACTAATATGAATTGATAATGATTAGAGTTAATATTTTTTTATATAGGTCCTAATTGTGTTGTACCTAATAATTTACTTAAGTTGGAACATTTTAATTATGGGTGAAGTATACAAATGGTCCCCCGATTATAGGGTGTTATTTTATTGAGTCTCTCAACTATTAAAAGTTACAAAATGATCATCTAACTATAGGACATTGCTTTGTTGAATCTCTGACTATTAAAAACTACAAAATGATAACCCGTAACTCGCTCTTTTCTATTAAAAAATTGACTGTCGTTTGAGCTATATTTTATGGATTGACTCTCCGTTTACATTATCGTGGAGCTAATGCTTGAAATATTATATCGTTAAGTCAGTGCTTGAAAGCAACGGAGGTGCCAACAAACATCATTAAAATATGATTTTATCATATCTTAGTCAGTAGATTGACATCATGATCAGATGACCGTTAAACTTTTTAATGAAAAAGGACGAGTTTGGAACATATGAACAGTCGGGTGATTATTTTATAACTTTTAATGGTTGGGGACTCAACAAATAACACCCTATAACTGGGGACAATTTTATAACTTCTAATAATCGAGAGATTCAACAAAACACCACCCTATAATCAATGTACTATTTATACTTTACCCTTTCATTATTAACAACTAATTTTTAACTTTGATATTTAAAACATTTAAAAGTCTACGTAATCTATCACCAATAATTCCGAGATTGAGCAATAACTTATACATGCACTATGATATTCCATAGTGTGTATTTTTTTTAATGAAATCTAAAAATCTCAACCACGAATACTTGATTGGAGGGTATGGGAAGCAACTTTAATTAATACATTATTTTCTCTGAGAAATGTCAGCTGAATATTCAATTTTAGACAAAGTTGACACTAATATATTCGACTATAACATTAATATTTTTATTCATTTAAATTATATTAGCCGTCGTCATTTGTTTATGTCATCCAGGTGGATATGTGGCCCAATATAAATGGGTTTATATTTAATATAACGTCGGTTGGATAACGTTCGTTGTGTTCCTTTGATCTTTTGCGTAATGGCTAAACATTGCGTATGTGTAGAAACCATTAGGCATGTGGAACTGGCTTTGAAGGTTAGATGATGTTAAAAGTTGTTATATCTTTGATATATTCCTTCTCTCCTAGAAAATTATTCACTTGTTGACTTTTGAAGGGGTTCTTTCCCGAGATAAATTCTCCCCACGGTCATAACTTTTTGATAAGATCATTGGTAGAATTGAAAGATTTATTAACATTAAATCTATTCCCGACAATTATATTTATATATTAGTTTTTTAAAAATTTTATAGAGATCTAAAACGACATAGTTTTGGTGTAGTCGCTAATTGTCTAATAAGTGGCCAAAACAAGAAAACGTTATAAGTTTAGTGATTAAATTGAAAATTATTAAATTTTAATGATTAAAATATGAGTGATAGTAAAATTGAGTGATGAAATTTATAATTTACCCTTACTAAAATAGTGATGTTGATGCGTCATCATAAGATAATTTCACATCATCACGAAAAAAATAAAAAAACTAAATCATCAGTTCTATTAATTTTTTAACGGCGGACACTAAATTGAAACCTAAACTAAACATTATGTATGATTTAAAAAAATTAAAGTTTAAGTACTAAAACAAAACAAAAACAATAATTTAGATATTAAACATATAATTGACCCTTGACTTTATATAAAAAATCGTAGTTTCGCATGTCAAACTTCAGATAAAGCGGCATAAATAATTTTATTTATTAATTTATTGATAAAAATATTAATTTTATTTAAAATAGAAAATATTCTAAATTAAAATAAATATTTAAAATCATAATCGTAAACTAAGCACATAATTAGTATACTTTCCTATTATCATTGAAACAAAACTAGCAATTTAAGATCACATAAGGACCATACAAGAAAATATTAAAACATTACCAAGAAAACTCGAATAAAGAAAGATACAAACAGATCTGATTGCATCAGTAAACGAACTAAAAAAATAATTAAACTACTAAAAGAGCACAAATAAACCGTAAATCATACTCGAGTAACGTGAAAAGCTATCAACGAACACATAATAGGTATTCAAATCCAATCTGATGGTCCAAAGTAGAGAAGAACAACAATATAACAGGTAAGCAACATTTTAATCAGTCGTGACGATGTCAAATCAATCATTAGAAAAAATAAATAAAAACAACGGTCAAACGATCGAAAAACTTTAAAACATGCAAACTTATTAAAATAAAAAAAAATATATAGATACAATATAAGAAAATAAAATAACAATAAAAATATTAACAGTTAACTATTATCATTAAATTTGATGCGGTTATTGATAACAAATACAAAAGGAAAAGAAGATAAATGA